CAGTCCCATACACACATTCTCCCTTTCTCTCCCTCTCTTTTTTATAATTACGCGTATCACGCACTCCGGTAGAGCACCAGCGTTCTCTGTACACAGTGTCGGTCGCGTGTCGTGTCCAACTGGCCGGTACCGCTCCAACGTTCTAACAGTCCGCCGCCATTTCGCGAGCGTGTCCAGGGCACTGTTGGTGTACGAGCGTCTCCTAAAATGGCGGTGGCCCGCCCGCGAGTAGCCGGACCGTAGTTTCACACCCACACCCACACACACAGCGTATATATATGTACACGGGTCGCGGAACACCACCGCACTCACACCAGAAAGTCAGGGTCACTGTAGTCCTCGCCGCTGTCACTGCTATCGGAGATTCTTCTCCTCTTCTTCTTTTTATGCTTCTTCACCTTCTCCGTTTTGTGCGAACGGTGCTTCCGGTGTTCCTTCGCATCCGGATGGGCGTGTATCGTCAGCTTGGGTACACGCGGCTGCATCTGCGGCGGCACCGGTGGCGGATGCATCGGCGGGTGCATCGGCACTGGCACAGGTCCCGAGCCAGCCATCGAATTCACGGAGTTGTTCGGATGCTCGATCGTCGAGTTCATGCTGCCCTGATAATTCGCCATCGCATTACCGGCCATGGCGTTATCGGTCAGCTTACCCTCCATCTCAGCGTTGTTGGTCATCTTAGCGTTTTCCATGTGTTGCTTACCGCTCACGTCACCGTCGTTTCCGTCTTCTTCCTGCTCCTCGAGATCGAACTTCAGCATCAGCTGCTTGAAGTCCAGATACTCCTTCACCAACTTCTTCCTGCCATCCGCGTCCAACTCTTGGTTGTTCACGCCTTCCTTCAGTCTCTGCAACGTGGCCTTTGGTTTGAACATCAGGTTGCTTTTCCGATTCACGGCCTTCTCGTAGACCTTCGCGGCCTCCGTAGGCGAGTACTGGCCGATCTTCTGATCGGAGAAGCCATAGAGATCTTTTAGGTGTTGCCTCAACGTGAGAAGAAGTAGGAATCCTTGGCTGGCCGTGATGTACTCCCTTAGCAACGTGGTGTCGCCTGGTAACCTCGCCAATAGGACGTCCTCATCTTCTTCGTCGTCCTCTTCGTCTTCCAAGGCAGATAATAATTGATCCGGTCGAGGTTGACCATCGGGACCTAACATTTGAGACTGCGACTGCAGTTGTTGTGGTTGTTGCTGTTGCTGCTGTTGTTGGGGCTGGTTGTTGCTGCCTTCCTTGGGTAATAACGCCTCCTTAAACGATTGCAACAGATTCGTCCCGGACATTGAGATGATGATGTCGATGTGGTGGATGATGAACAGCGGCTCGTCTTGCACTTGATATGTAAAGTACGCGAGATTGTCCGCTAGATACAGCATCTGCGACAAACTCGTCTTCGCGGACTCGTCGAACTGCTTCAAGAAGGACAAAACAATGGCCCGCCTCTGCTGCTTCGTATTCCTCAGGATCGTGTACAGAAAACCGTTCAACGCGCCCGGGAACTCGCCCTCCTTTACCCGCATACCTCTTACCGTCATGTCATTCTGCAAGATCTTCTGTAACCGGTAGCTCAGCTTGATGCCCAGTTGCGACTTCATGTGAATGAAACCGGGATACTTCTTCTCGATGTCCTGCAATTGCTTGTCCGCGCTGTGACTTACCGCCTTCTCGCAGTCCGTGCTCATGCAGATTAAATATGGGACGATTTGAACCGGATGAACCAGACCCTGAGCTAGGATCAATTGGATAACCTTAAGGGCGGCGTGCCGCACACTGATGTTCACGTGGAGGAACGCTTCGAGAATCTCCTTCACGTACAGCTGGATCACGGTGCTCGCCATCCCCGAGGACACGTCCCCCATCTCCTTCAGGTTCTCCTGCTTGGACATCTTCGCCCACTCCATATCCTGCTTGATCATCCTCTTGTCCTCCTCCTGTAAATACACCTCCACGTTGTTTAACACTTGAATCCTCATGTGGACCAATGCGTTCTCCGACGTGAGCAAATGATGGTAGAGCTCCTTTAGCTCGGGCAACAACATGAATTCGTAGTGACGTATACAAAGGGAACCGATCGCTGAAAGAGTGAAGTGTTTGATGTCGTCGTTGTCGAGGTTCACGAAGTAGTTCAGCGTCTCGAACACTTGGTCCTTGATGTTGTCCGCCAAGCCTTCGATCACCTCCGGATCGGTGAAATTGAAATGCCGCAACAGCAGGCCGACCGTGAACAACGCCCGCCTGACGAACGGCCGGTACTTGAGAAGCATCGGGTTCGTCGGGTCCTTCTCGTAGAACGATTTGTACTCGGTCAAATGTCCATAATATTTCTTAAAGCAGTCCCGTATCAATTTAAAATTTCTCGTCACGTTGTTAACTATAGAACCTAAGCACGACAGGCAACTGGCCACGACCGAGCGGTCGTGTTGCAGGATCAGTTTCACGGAGTCCTCCTCGAGCTGGGCTAAAAAAGTCTCGCTTGGGTGTTCCATTAACGGCACCACTAGCTCCAGGGTGTGCGCCACGCTGCTGATTATCTGGTAATCGCCCTGCGTCTGACACTTTAAACTTAAATAAGGCTGCAACGTGATCGCGTGGTTCACCAGCAACTGCGGCCGTATCTTCGCGAACAGATAGAGGGTTGTCAGGCAAGCGACCAACCTCTGCGAGGATCCCTTCTTCTCCGACTTCTCTGATTCCTCCAGGTTGGTCTCCTCCAACCGGAGAACGTTCTCGATCAGGCAATCAACAATCTGCTTGCACGCAGTCAACAACGCCTTCGGAGGCTCGGTTTGCATTTTTGTACTATCGTCTTTGTCCTCTTTCGGCTTGAATAAGCTTACCAGCAGCTGTTCAAACCACTCGAGGCCCATATCTTTGCTAGCTGCCACGACGTCCGTGATGTTCATCACTTTCCTCAACAGTGACTCAGAGTCCAATGTCGGACGTTCCCTGACGGGCGTGAACCACATGTTCTGAAATACCTCCATCACTAATTTCCTAATACCTTCCTCGTCGTTCACCCGTCTGATCATCTTCACGCAGATCTCCGGTATTTTCGGGAAATCCGGGCACTCCATGCAGATGTCCTTCAGTATCTTGATCACGCGCTTCCGCACGCTCACCCCGGTGTCAAGGATCCTCGCCGACAACATGTCGTAATACTTATCTATTAATTCTGGCCTACTTAGTACAAATTTTCCTACCAAGTCGACAGCCGCCTCCCTCACGGACGTCGCGTGATCCAGGAACGAGTGTTTCACGCCCAGCTGCATGTCCACCCGCGCCAACACGCTCGGATCGGCCTCGACGATCATCGTTAGACACTTCATCGCCTTCGTTCGTATCGCTATCGAAGACTCTGTCAGCACGTGCAAGATCTGCTTCAGGTAACGATCGAAACTCTGGGAGAACGGCCTCTTCGAGGCGAGGTATTGCGATATAAGCTCCGCCGAGTTGTAATCGATATACGTTTGAAGGATGTCCGGCTTTGTGCCGGTGCTGTACGGCCTTATTCTACTTATTATGTATTTCTTCTTCTCCTCTATGATCCTGTACGCCTCTGAGTTCTTCTGTTCGTTATTGTCGTTCTCGTCCGGGTCCGGTTCATCTAAATCAGACTCAGACTCCTGGTCGCTCGAATGATGTTTATTTTTCTTCTTTACTCTCTTCTTGTGCATCTTCTTGCTCGGACTGTTCTTCGTCTGACCGACCTTCGACTTCTCCACCGCGCAGTCCCTATACCACTGTGCCAAATAAAAATGCCGGGCGTAGCCCAACGCAGAGTCCTTCGTCCCGTTTACTGCCAGATAGTCCAGAAGAACCTTCTGTAAAAAAACGGTCCGTTCCTCGTCCTCGCTCAACCCATGAATCTCCTTATCCTTCACCTGGTCGTAATCGGAATCCTTCTGCTGCTCGATCTTGATGTCTTTGATAATTTGATCAATGGTAGACAATTTGCAATGAGAACTGACAGCGTCCTTTCGTAGTCTCGCTGCGACAACGCCGAGGTAATCGATCGATGCCACCCGAAGCGACATGTCGGAACTTTTGTTCGAAAAATGCCCTACGAGTAGATTACCCAGCAAGCTTAGAAGAAGCTCAGCCGCCGGCCATTCCGGTTTATTCACGGTGGCCAACAAATCCTGTACGAAATTCTCGAACAGTGGTCGATAATCGATCTCCTCACCTTTACTGCCGCATTTGTTCAGGAACACGGTTAAAAAATTCCCTGCTATTCTCGTGGCCGTTTCGTACTTGTTAATGATCAGTACGTCTGCATCTACGTAATTCGGTTTCTTCTCCTCCTTCTCTTTCTCTTTTTCTTTCTCTTTTTCTTTCTCCTTCTCTTTCTTCTCCTTCTCCTCCTCCTCCTGCGACTTCTTTTGTTGCGGGATCACGTTGTCAGACAAAACGACCACGCATTGTATCAGCTGTAAAACTAACGCGGTCAACATCTGTATGTGATCCTCGGAGTTTAACCGATACGTTCTCAAACTCCGCTTACTACTTGGAAGTCGGGCTATAGACGCGAGTATGTCGTCTAGCAACAGTCTTCTGTGTTTCTCGTATTTCGTGAATATAACAGTGACAAGTTTCAATGCACTCAGCTGAAGATCGCTGACGGACTCGACGAAAAAGGGCGCGACGCCCAGCGTGGACGCGTGCAGAACACTAGTATCTGTTAACACCTGTATGTTCAACAATTCCGCGAGCAGACCGACCAGTTCGTGCATCTTGTTGTACACCTGAAGAATACTTTTCTCGCGCACCTCTTTCATGTGACCCCTCTTTTTACGACCACTAGAATTATAATTGTCAGTCTTGTTTTTTGTGTCTATCTTGTAAACAGGATCGAAAGACGGATAAATCGTGTTCTGCAGCTGAAATTTCATGAAGAGAACTATTCTGTCGATCACGTCCTCCAGGTAGACCATTTTCGGCATGTTGTTCGACGTCATGATGTGCAACGCGATCAGAGACGCGTCTACAGCGCGTTGCACTCTCTCCATGGCCAGCTGCGTCCACAATCGGCTTTCGTCGATGTCGTCGTCCGGATCCGCTAGCGGCGACACTTTGGCACCGTCGCGGATATTCTTCTCTAAAATGTTTAGTAATCTTACCAGTCTGTCCGCGGGAATTGACTCCATTGCCCCTAACGCTTTCAGCTTGGCTGCTTCCGTGCACAAATCGTGCAACTGATACTTAGGAATTAACAATTCCGGAGGCACGTCACCGTCATCGTCGAACTCCGCGTTGGTCGCGACGTCTTCTGTGTTTTCAAATATTGTTTCTATGGTTGTATTGAAACGCTGGTACGTATTGGTCTCCATGAGCTCTTCCACACTGAGTTTAGCTAACACGGGGACAAGTTTCTTCTCGATTTTCCTGATTTTTGGTTTGGTAGGCGAAAGTTGCTCCTTCTTCTCATCCTCGTCGTCGTCGTCCTCCAGTACCCTCCTTCTCCTGCGAGTTTTCTCGTCGCTTTTTTTCCTCTCTGCTTTCTCCTTTTCCCTCTGAACCTGACGTTCTTTCGCGCGTGCTTTAAAATATTTATTATTCTTACCTACTTCCTCCTCGCTTTCCGAGTCTGACTTCTCTTCGCGATTCGAAATTCCCATTTTCGCGGCCCGACTCGGCGATTTCTCAGCGAAAGCGGCTAAGCTCTTTTGCATCAAAGCTTGATCTGCCAAAGACAATCTGTCTAACATGACAACCGGTTCCTTCAATTTCTCCGGTAACGGGCCGGGAATCTTTAATCCCTTCTCCGAGTTGTTGTTCTGTTGATGCTGTATCATTGGCGTTGCATTGGTATTTAAAGTATTGACCATGTCACCGGTATCCATACTCGGAAAGGAGGTGGTCTGCGCTGTTGACAGTAAATGTTGCGTCGTGTTATCCAAGGCCTGTTTTGCTTCGATATTCTCGATTGGCAAATCAATGTCTGGAAGACCTGTGACCGGATCCAGTAAAAATTGTTGATTCTCCTGCACTGTACTGTCTATGTCCATTGGTTGATGAGTTCCTAATGGATGATGTACTGATTGAGTCATCATTGGATCGAACATATTTTGCTGCATATTAATTGTTTGATGTTGTTGCATAGGCATGTTAGCACGCATAGGAGATGCCATGTGCATATTGTGTTGAGGCGTCATACCAGCCATATTATGGTGTTGCGGTGTTACATTGCCAAGAGTTGTTAATGGTGTACCAGGAGAGCTCATGTGTGCTGGAGAATACATATTTGGCTGCGGTGTCATATTAGGTAGGGGATTTATGCCAGTAGGCGGGGGGAGTACTGTTCTAGCAGCAGCAGGATGAGCTGGACTACCTTGCGGTGTTTGTCTTGAACCTGAAGAACTTGAGTAAGATGGGGAAAACCGTCCGTAATTGGCAGATGTTTGATTGCTGTGCATCATAGGCGTACCTTGGGGCCAATTTCTTGGTGAATTATATTGAGGACCCTTAAATACGTGAGGATTTATTTGTAGAATTGCTTTAAGTAACTCCGGTGTATTTTGCTCAGTTTCCAAAGGCTGTTCAGTATTTGCATAATTGTCTTTCAGTTCTATATGATCGGAGGATGTTTGCGATAAAGATAATATCAACTGTGGCACCAAATTTTCATTACGGACACTCAGTAATATTTGTGCTTCCTCTGCCACTCTTGGATGAAACAGAAGGGACTTGTTAGTCAATGTCTGTGGCAGCGGTGTTGGAAGGGGCATTTCAGGCAACAAGTCAGTAAGACTCGCAATACCAGCGAGAGTTGTGATTGGCACACTCGGTATAACCCCGTTCATCTTGAATTTGATTTGTTCTGGCATTACAGCCTGGACAAAAAATATTATTAAAATTAGGTCCAGTGTCCTTACATGTACTCTGAGGTTCATAGAATAATCCAACGTAACGAACACTGCACTGACATATTAGAAAAGTTCTGTTCACAGTATATGATAAATATAAATCAACAGAACATATCTAAATGCACTGTTCTCACAAATGTTCAAAGAAATCATTGTTAAATTTTTTTACACCCGCATGTTCAAGACATTCCGATATAAGAATTGCATCACTATTGAACAGAATTGTATCTAACGCTTATTAAAGAACACTAGCACTAAGGCATATACTGGGAACTTAACAAAGTCTCTTTTAAGTTCCCATGGTGCACCAGAATGTATCAACCAAATTTTGAAGAAGCTCGAGGATCCTCCAATAAACGATCCATTGTTGGTTGTAATTTCTTGTCCTGTAACATTAAAAATATTATATTAATTCAATTAAATGCAAAAAGTCAAAAGAACACATTAAATATTTATATAAAATTTCATTTAAATTCTTATATTCAGGTTTTCTGCATGAAAAAAACTGACTTATACATATATTGATGCAATGTCAAGTTTGTGACACACTTTCAAAAAATGTAAATTTCATATATATTTATAATAATAACTGTTTATAACAGCAAAAATTTAATGAAATTTCGGTTAAAATATTCATATTTCACATTATAATTATAGATTCAGATGAAAAAAAATGTCAGCCTTTACATAAAGGTTAGATGAACCAAATACAATCTTTTTTAAGTAAATTTTAAAAAATATTACTAAATAACATTTGAAATTTGTTGAAATTATGTGATTTCATAATTATAAACCAAATGCAACATTATTTCATTCACAATGGTCCTAAAAAAATCATTTAGTACAGTCACTATATATATATGTACATGTATATGAGTATGCATAATGAATGTGTATAGAGTTTGATATCTAAGCTATAAACAAATACTATATGATCAAATCAGTGTAACAATTTTCAATATTACTGCATCAATTTCTCACAAATCTGTTGAAAGACACATCAACTTAACAAATTCAACACTTCTCGTAAAAAATGCATCAGGTACAATGCGCACTGACTAATCAATGAGAAAATTGCATTACGTGCACAACGTCAACAAAAGCATCATTTTCTCATGTAAACCGTGCTTGGTGAATATCACAATGACTCTTTCGGTCACTGTTTCACTTAATTTCATTGAAGAAGCACAAGTAACATAAATCAGTAATATCACTATGCTGGCACAAAACTGATTATTACCTTCACTCGTAGAATATCTACCATCCAACATCATACATATGATAACATGGCCTCTGAAGTAGATGCTACAGGCTGGAAAGCTCCCTTGTGAATGGAATTCCGCTAAATAATAGAATCATCGTAGTCAGTGGTGGAAACAGAAACGGTTTTATGCGATATCGATGGCAGATATGAAACATTGTGTCGAAGTTTCGTGTCGGTTGCCTTACCCAGCTACGCGGAACGATTATTTATACTGCAGAATGCGAGCAGTGAATGGAATTTTGGCGGGAGGCGTATCGTAATCCAAGATCCCCGGCCGGTTCAATATGTGAATAGCATCAAGATTCACGCAATTCGCCAAAACAAACGGTCCCTCCGTGCGGAATCTGCTCACGAAACTTCTCGTCGAGAAGATATTCGCTCAATTGTCATCCGTGGTTGTGGCCTATTTGGTTGGACACGTTTCCCCGTCGATCACTAGTGAACGCGTTCGCTTTGCCGGCACTGCGCGATTTTCACTCACGTTTCTCGCGACACCGCGTAAACATCGCCATGTCAAAGGTGGTGCATCGCGGTGAAAACAGTATTTATAGTGCGAACACGAAGAAAACAGACACAAAGGCGTCCATTTTGCTCAGCAGCGAGTTAGCGGAAGTTGCGTAGTAGATACGGGCCAGATACAGGTATACCGGCGCTACGGCGTCGCATTTCAAATTACCGTGCGCTGTTCTCATGAAAGCGACGGAATTCAATCCTCGATTTCAGTAAATTTTATTACATCTTTAAGCCGAATTATTCTTTTAACTGTTGCAATTATATTCGATTCTCATATACTATTCCTTCTTGCATTGAAATACACTATTTTTATTTAACTGTACAAACTTTTTATTGTGATTTCAAAAATTCTCATGTACTACTAAAAAATTCACGTATTTATTATACGTCATAAACTTGGTTAATGCTTAATTAAATAATCTATTTATAATTATTAAATACGGATACAGTGCACAAGCGATGATTAGAATGTATTTTCTTCTGCAAAACAAACGTTAATGAAAACGCTTGATTGTTTTCATGAACAAATTTTCAAGCAGATTTCTGACTCTATGTTCAAACTCCATACTCCATGACTCAATAAAAATGTTCGCAGATGGCGCCACCGACACCTCTTTAATCGTATAATCTTTCGGTAATTAACGTTTGAAATGATATTTTCTAATTAATTACCCTATCAATTAACTCACTTACAGACTATACGAATTGATAGACTTAATTGTCCTTCTCGGTCATTCCATTCAGAGAATAATAAGAATTGCAGGAGAAATATTCGATAGAAATGATTACTTCATTTTTAACCTATTAAAAAATAAAATACTTCAATAGAATACGACAAAAACTATAATAGTTTACCATTTAATAATATTGAGAATATATGAGAAACTATTGTATTTGGTTCTTATAGAGGGTGTTCTAAAGTTTCTTAACCTTTTCATAAAATGCAGTTCAAATAATTTCGCTGCACAACGTATATGCGACTTTCGATAATAGTAAAAGAATAACAACAATAAAATAATACCGTGTTTCGTTGAATAACCTGTACAATCCATTTTTTAAAATGCCTTTGTTTAATTAAAGTATGTTCCATTTGGTCGACGTAGATACCGATTTTTCGTACACCCTTTATCTGTCTCTCAATTTGTTTCGGACTGTAATCGATAGAGAGCGCCGCAATCGAGGTAATTTCGACTCTCATGCTCGAGGAAAAATAGAATCCTGAGTAAAAACTCCAAAATGGCGCAACTGCCGAGTGTAAACACCCAGTTTTGATGTTAACGAGGTGCACCAGCCGCGAAGAGTTCGCGTAAAAATCGGACTCGCTGTTTGGTCCATTTTTGTGTGTGAACAGTGTGACGAACAAATTCTACCTGAATGTTCACTGTATCTACGATCGCCCATTCTATACCAGGTAAATATCGAACCTGTTTGACATTGAAAGCGTTTTCCTGACGGGGCCAATTAATTTCACACAGAAATTTCACATGAAATTTTTAAACGTAACTACCACCCTTCAATGTATTATTATTGTTTCATTGATTAATGAAACTTGAACTTGCTTTCAAATAGATTTCCCAGTATTGATGATTCTTCCTTTAAGTGGGACAATTTTCTATTACAAAATGCAAGTATTCACCTAGATTATCTGCTATGCTTAACATGTAAATGAACTAATTTACTACCATGAATTTCTTTGTTCTTTTTCATTCTATTACTCTTTCATATGTGTATCATAGCTTACATATAAAGAAACTTGAATTTCGAGACCACATTGAGTACGCAAGAATTTAATGTAGCAAAATAACTTGGACAAAGAAGTAAACTTTATAATTAAATACATATTGTATATTCTGTTCACGGTTTAAAAGTTACAAATATAATAATAAACTTCAAAGTTGAGACACATTTCATATATAATGTAGCAAAATAGTCAACGTAAAAGTTGCATATATACTCTTCAACAGCCTATAAGTAGATTGAATTATGTTTCGATTTTTATAGAGTTTTTGAGGATTATATAAGTTTTTCAGAAATGCAAAAATAAAAAATAATTTTTTATACTGTTATAGGGAGTGACCTGAGTAAAATGTCGCAGAAGCGCGGTGCCACTATAGCGCATATTGGGTAAGTACCATTGTGCATTAATTTATCGTAACTTATCAATCCATTCATTTGATTCAATACTACATTACATCCATGCGCAATGTGTGTTATTTAAAATATAGAATATATTGAATTTAATACTTAATTGAGCTTAAATTTTATATTAAAATCTGTGCTTAGGAAAACATTTTCAATGAAGCTATATAATTTTTGTCATTTTCAATGTTACTAATAAATTTGAAGCATTGAACAATTTTTTTTCTGTTAAATCAGGTAGGATTTTTCTAATGTAAAAATAATTCTTTTCGAATGTAACTATAATTAGTCAGCCTGTGAGGTCCGTAGTAATTAATGGGACCTCTATAGCATAACGGTGACCAATTTCTGTCCCACTAATATTCCTTCGTACCGCAATTGCAACATCGCGCGAGAAACATTTCGTTATCGTAAGCGTCGCATACTTTTACCGCTGGGACAGAGCCTGGCTTCTGAAATAAGTATCCCTCCTCGACTATATTGGCGAACTCTTCGGCAACTGCTGCATTCCCAAGAAAACTTCTGATCGATCGCACCCATAATGGTACCCTTTTTTCAAAAAATAAAAATTCCTCGCGCGAATTTTTCATAATTCAAGTCGCCGAGCCCTGCGAGAACTTATATCCCGAAGAAAACTTTTGATCGATCGTAGCCTATTATATTGGTACTTCCCTTTCGCAAAGAATGAACATTCTCTGCGTACATTTCCCTTGATTTAAGTTAGTAAACCCTACAAGATCATCTACATGCTTTATTATAAAAAGTCCATCAACTCGAAAATCATAAAAAATCTTTATACCCGAAGAAACTTTTAATCGACAACCGTAATAGTACCGATTTTTCAAAAAATGAAATGATTTTCGTATGAAATCTATAATTTAAGTTCACGAACTCTTCAAGATCGTCGGTACAGTTTGTAAAACGTGAAATCGTTAATGTCTGTGATTGTACCAGAATAGTGCCGTTTTTGGTAAAAAAAAAAAATGGCAAATTCACCGCGTCGATTTTCCATGGTTCAAGTTGGCGGACTCGACCGCGGTAGCGTGGTCGTCCTCGTGGGCACATAGCGTGCACAACGAGGACGATGCATCCCGAGTTAAAAGTCATGCTTTACACGGTGGCTGTTCTGGGCTCTCTGGTGGGAGAAGTGATAGTCCTTAGCGGGGTATAGCACGGCGGCACATTATGCGGCTATGGTGGAATCAGTCACTGGCGAGTTGTGGGTGGTGACTAGTCGGCGACCCATCCGTCCGAGGAACGTGCTTCCGCGTTCGTACGTTTCGACGATTCTCGTGCTTCATCGATCGCGATCTAGACTCCCTCCGCCCGACCACTGGACTACACACACCGCGCAATCACTGCGACTCATTTAAAATCAATAATAAACGTACGTCGATCTAAAAGATCAAAATCAGTGTCGAAGATTCCGACTTCAGTGATTCAGACTTCAGAGGTCCGAACAAAGATCAGCTAATTTGAATATTCCTCGAACACGTTTGGTTTGAAAAAGTCCACTGGAAAAGATCGATGATCCACGATCGAGACGGAGGAACGTTCGATTTTGAGTCGGTGGTGTTGATAGAGGCGAGGCGAAATGGCCCGAGTGAAACTATCGGCGGACCAACGAGTGTCAATCGTTCGGATTAGTCGCGCGCGGTCTCATTAGTCCCGGTTGCCCGGCGTGAAAGCGATCCACGGTGTCCCGACACTTTCCAAAACGGCTGAGAAGCCGCCAACGTCGATAGCGCGGACAATGCATACGCGATCGGGCCGGTGTTTCCTCGAACGCGTCGCTATTGCGGTGGAAAACCGACTTCGCGCGATCGTCACGGACCATTGAACGTTTCCCGCGTGTTCGGAAGATGACTCCTTGGAGTGTCCGTTAATCCTCGTCGAAAATCCCCGCCGAGCGATGTGATTCCCGTAGTGCAAATGATCGAACCACGGATTTCCACGGCTGTAGTGTTAATAGTTCCAGTGAAAAGGTATCGAAACGCGTGTTCGAGCCTCAACTAGACTCGCGAACGGCCGGAGGGATTCTTAGCATTCTCCCGAGGTGCATCGGGAAAAGCGGGAATAACGTCCACGGTACGCTGATAATTCTTCGCCTCGTCGGCCGTAAATAG